TACGGGCAGTTCCTTCTCCCTCTTCTTTGGCACTAGGGACCTATTCTTGGGCATGATGGATTCTTCCTCCACCCTGGCGTAGTTTTTTTATCCAGGCCATCAAGTCCTTCATATCCCCTGGAGCTCTCTTAATAAGAGATTTGTAGAGGTCGGTGTCTCGAGATAATCCTAGCCGAAATGTTGTTGCGGCCATTGCTTCTTAGCATGCCTCGACCTCGTTAATTTTCTCCTAGTACCTGACTGTGTACTGCTGAAGGGACTCTTCGCCTCGCCATTTAAGCGTCAGTAAAGCACCGATGTCTCTCGGCCTTTTACAACTAGTGAGGAATCGAGCTACGAAGAGCTCAATCATTTGCTTCCAAGATCTGATGCTTTATGGGGCCAAGTTCTTGTACCACTTCATTGCAGTGTCCCCCAAGCTTATGGAAAAAACTCAGCACAGAAGCCTTTGGTTAGTGTCATAAATGGACATTAACTGCTTGTATTACCATAGGTGGCTCTCGGGATCTATTCTCTCCCATCATAAACTTTAAACCGGAGGACGGTAAACTTTCTTAGCATCTCGGTCTCCCGGATTGCTCATACGAACGATAAAATGATTTGCTCATCCTCGTCTTCATCCCCCTCGGGTTTGGGTCTCCGAGGCTTAGCATCTAGGCGCGCTCGAAGGTCCCCCTGGGGTCTTCCTTCTCTAGGTCCCCTCGCAGTGGATTCCGTATAGGACTCAATCGCCACGACACCTCCTANCGATAAAATGATTTGCTCATCCTCGTCTTCATCCCCCTCGGGTTTGGGTCTCCGAGGCTTGGCATCTAGGCGCGCTCGAAGGTCCCCCTGGGGTCTTCCTTCTCTAGGTCCCCTCGCAGTGGATTCCGTATAGGACTCAGTCGCCGCGACACCTCCTGATAGTTCATGGCGGAGATCCCACTGGGACAAGCCTATATTATGGTGATTTCGCTCCAANCCCCTCGGGTTTGGGTCTCCGAGGCTTGGCATCTAGGCGCGCTCGAAGGTCCCCCTGGGGTCTTCCTTCTCTAGGTCCCCTCGCAGTGGATTCCGTATAGGACTCAGTCGCCGCGACACCTCCTAATAGTTCATGGCGGAGATCCCACTGGGACAAGCCTATATTATGGTGATTTCGCTCCAATCCTTCCTTGGGAGCAAGCTTTCTCCAGATTCGTGGGTTGCACCTCTCGGTCGTGCTGCTGCGCAAGCTCCTCTCGGGGGCATCCAACCCCACACCCCCGAAATTGCCTCGACTGAAACCTCGATCTCCATGCTTACTGCTTTGTCAACTAGCACTCCCCGATTGCTTAAAATCATTNAATCCTTCCTTGGGAGCAAGCTTTCTCCAGATTCGTGGGTTGCACCTCTCGGTCGTGTTGCTGCGCAAGCTCCTCTCAGGGGCATCCAGCCCCACACCCCCGAAATTGCCTCGACTGAAACCTCGGTCTCCATGCTTACTGTTTTGTCAACTAGCACTCCCCGATTGCTCAAAATCATCGAGCCGATGTTGTACTTTGGTGTTATCCTTCTCAAGTTGCTTGATGTGCTTTTTCATCTACTTTTCTATCAACTCAACGATCTCACAAGCCAAGAGGCCTTGCCCCCCAAGGCCTTGATCTGCGGGGAATGTTCACTGCAAGGGTTGCTTGCCTACGTCTGACTGGCTCAAGGGGTCTGACTTTGTGACAGTTGGGAGCCAGGTAGCCTCCACGTTTCTCAAGCGTAAACCTCCTATCACCTTGGGATCATGTGTTCACTATGGGGCAATTGCTACAGGGAGAGGTTCGTATAGTTCCCATAGACGAAGCCAAATTACGCGAGAGATTTCCTACAATAAATTAAGATAGCAATCCTCTCGATGATGAATCTAAAATAACCACAAGATCAGAAAAGGGGTCGGATAAACACCCGGCTTATCCCATTTGAAGCTTAAGTCAGTCCAAGATTAGAGGCTTGAGCATAGTATATATCATGTTTCTCAGTTTAGTCTTGCGTAACTTTGTTCATTTTTTCTGAGGAGTATTTATACTTGAATTAGCAATAAGTGCAAGGATAGGAAGTTCCATCTTGACATTTAATGATTTGCACCCTTACCCACGCGTAATAAGTGTTCTTCACTCAGATCCTCATGTTGTTAATGCTCGGGTGATATGACAAGCGCTCGAGGCCACCCAAGCACTTTTGGCTATCCCCGAGCACTCAAGTTCCTCTGATCGGCACCTGACACATTTTCCCGAATGTTTAGTGCTTAGGTGGCACCATACATTAATCAGCGTAATAGTCATTAATGTATTGGAATCATGACTATCAATTTGGGTCTCGAGAATGTAGGGCTGATTAATAGTCTCGTCCTAGTCACTCACATCCTCATTAATGAGTTGTCAAGTCTTTTTAAATACTGGTGTCAGTAGGTGTACTCGGCTCTCCCAAACAATAACTATTTGGTGCCATCTCTCGACGTCTTTTGAGTTTTATAACAGCTGTATTAATCCACGTGTCAACTTGGAAACCACTGAGCCGCCTAAAGTCCTGTCAATTCATGTGGTCAAAGTGACACAACTTTTCATCCAATTTGTGATGGATGCTTACAATTGGGCCAATGTAGAACCAATAATCTCAGTTAAAAGTGCAATGTAAGATACATGCCTGGAGGGACAATGTGAGACATCAGCCTAATTGAGGGAGTTAAATTGTAATTCTTTTTAATTATTCTATTATCATGTTTTTATCAATTGATCATTAAAGTATAAAAAATTATAAACGCTTAACAAAAATTATAACTTGAACAATAAAAATTATACGGTAAACTTCATTTTACCCCTTCATGGTTTATGGCTTTTGCAGATCACTTCCCTGTCTTTCTAAAATAGCACATAACCCTCCCGTGGTTAATGAACTAAAATGAACCGTTAACTCTACTAACGAAAAATTTAAAATGACCTTAATACCCTTAGACATTAGGAAGGATCAGATTGAACAAACTCGTCCATTTCATACCCATCCACCTGGACGTTAGAGTAATTAAAATGATAATATCTCCTCATTTCATGTTTGGTTCAAGTATTAAGAAGTAGTGTGTCCCATATTTAACTCATCTAATACTTTGTTTGTATAGAGTATTAAATGATAATATAAATATTAAATTACTAAAGAACTCTCAAAATAATTATATTCTAGAGATTCTTGATGATAAAAATATATTTTGTCAAAATATTTCTCAATCGAATTATTTAAACTCACCAAATAAATGAGTTTATTTAAGAAGGTATATGTGACTATAAATGTAGTATTCATCTGGACTTAAATTATTTTTAAGTGATAATACTGGACCAATAGTATGTATCCGAGTAAAAGGGATAAGGTGGGTTCAAACATATTTTTTTCGAGCCTTCTTTTTTAATACCTAACTCAATCAGGCCCTTATTCTCTCTTCTTTGGCATACCCATCTTCTCTGACAGACCTAAATTTGTATGTCTCCCGCCTTCCTCGGCTAGAATTATATCCAGAAATTTATCGTTTCAATTCCAAAAATGAACCAAAACCGCAAACTCCCAAATCGGAACAACCCAAAATTGAAATTGAAAACGAATAAACCCGAGATTCAATCCACAAATCCAAATTTTGCTTCACTGAAAAAGGCGCTAAAATTCAGTCAAAATTACAAGAAAAAACCAGAATTTTTTACGTGCAAGTCTTGATTCTTTGGTAGAGGATTGAAAGGCCATTTAGTTTGGAAGCATCCTGGTTTTCTTATTGTTCGGCAATAACTCTCACTAGCATTCTGCCCATTCTGTGGAGTGATGTTGTCTGCCATTTGATGTATGCCCAAGCACTCCTTGCTAGCTTAAGTGGCAGTGGTGGTTGATCAACTGAAAATGAAATGGGTGCTGAGGGTGTCAATGAAAAAAAGGAGGTGTTGGTTGTTAATCGGTGGAAAGAAGAGGTGGGTGATCGTGACTGTTTACGAAAATGGGTGGTGGTGGTTGATTGGTGTACAGTTGTGGCCGCCGTGGGTTATCCTCAGGAGATATGACATGTGTGAGAGAGAAAAGATGGAATTTGGATTAGGTGGGACCGTGGCTGTGACCAGAGAAATTGAGAGAGAAGAAGTGGGACCGAGGAAAAGTTAAGAAAAAAGTGAGGGTTTGAGGATTTTGTTGTTTTTTTTAGGTTAATCGTAAATTATACCCTAAAATATGATTCTAATGTTAAAGTTTATCTTTAAAGATAAAAAAATTAAATTAAAGATAAAAAATTTTAATTTATACCTTCAAATTTTTTTTATCAATGTGCACTTAAAATTAATAATCGTTAATTTATTGTCTAAAATTAAATAGATAAATTATATCTAAATCTTTTTATACTTGTCACTTAATCATTTGATACTCTTCATATTTAAAATATTACTCTTACACCTCCTAACGTTTGTACACATGTAACACATAACTCTTTATTGTTGATATATTTTAATATAACAGTTAAAAAATATGATTTCATATTAATAAAAAAATATAATTTCATACTACCCTTATTTTGCGGGTTTGTTATAGTCTAAAGTTTAAAATTAAGATTAACATTTGATTATTTAATATAATGCAGGTATTTATATAATGTTATTTACATCTAATGTAATATATCACTTAAACAAAATTATTTGAATACTAAATTAGAGAAATATTTTTAATCATATTTAAATTCTCAAGAGATGTGTATATAATATTTCAAATATGAAGGGTTTAAATAATTAAGTGGCATGTATAAGAAAATTTAGATATAATTTATTCATTTAATATTACAAAGCAAACTAGCATTTTGATATATATTTTTTATTTTTAAAAATATAAATATAATTTTTTTATTTTTAAAAATATAAATTTAAATTCAAACGATTATTCATGGTAATTTGAGATTAACCATTGTTTTTTTAACATGTTTTTGGTGTGGCCAAGCCGCGTAATATGCACGTGAAATTTTATGGAAAATATGTCGGTGCATTCTATCCATTCAAGTTAGGTGGCTATCAGTTTTTCACTCTTTCTCTCCCACTCATTGAATTTTTAATCTGCATATACTCCCCATAACTGGAACAAAGAGCCCGTTCTGGGTTTCCACTTTCCGGTCATGGCTTCCACCCAATGCGTCGTCGTTTTATTCCTAATCACATTCACATCCACCGCTTTTTCCCGTTCAATCCTCGAAACCTCCCCAAAAACCCACCACTCCTTCACCTCTAATCCTATCTTCATTCGCCGGAAAATTCCAAAGGACGGCAACGCTTTCTACTGCGAAAGCTGGAGACTCTCCGTCGAGACTGATAACGCCGGATCTTGGACTCAGATTCCGGCCAGTTGTTTGGATTTCGTGGAGGAGTACGCGACCGGCGACCATTATTCGTCGGATCTGGAGGTTTTCGCCGAGAATGCGTTGGAGTTTGCAAAAGAGGTTAACGTCTCCTCCATCCACGGCAAGGACGCTTGGGTCTTTGACATTGACGAGACGTTGCTGTCTAATGTTGGGTATTATGAGTTCTATGGTTTCGGGTGAGTCACTTGACTGAGGAAGATTACGTCAAGTTATCGTCACTTACCAAAGCACGACACCGCACTATAACACGAATTTTTCTTCATGTTTAATTTCTTGTAAATTTGCATTGCTCGTACCGTTCCACGACACTCTAACTACTGATGCATTCAGATCCCTACAAGTAGCCCCAGAGTGAATTTGTAAGATAAGATCTGTCAATGTCCAAAGCATTTCCTCGTAATCTTCCTACTTTCCCCGGCCCTACTCTATTTGCTATAAAACTGGTGCATTTCAACATTATTTTTTGTTCATTCAACTCCTTGTTGGTGGTTTTAAGACTCTTGATTTACATCCAGATATTATGATGTTGACGCTCTCAATGAGTGGGTGGAGTCGGCTGTGGACCCTGCTTTACCTGCAAGCTTGGAGTTGTACAAGGAGCTCCAAAATATGGGATTTAAGTTAATCTTATTAACTGGCCGCAGTGAATCTCTTAGGAATGCTACAGAGAAAAATCTGTTACAAGCAGGATACAGCAATTGGGAAACGCTTATCTTGAGGTAAATAATCTAAATGGTTTATGAAAATTCGCTTTGACTCATCTAAATTTCATGTCTTCAATCGGGATAAGCATGAAAGACAGGACATAGTTAAGGGGATTCAAAGTATAAGTCAAAGCCCCCAAGAAAGGCAAAAACATGGGTTCAGCATATCATTAGTAATGAAGATTGATCCATTCCATTGTGACTGAAACAGGGGACCTTCTGATACGGATAAAACAGCCACTGTATTCAAATCCGAGAAGAGAAGAGAGTTGGAACATCATGGTTTCAAGATTCATGGAAACTGTGGAGATCAATGGAGCGACTTACGGGGCTTTGCAGTAGCCACACGATCCTTCAAACTCCCAAATCCAATGTATTATGCTCCCTAGTGATCAAGGTGGAAGTTCGGAAATTGTCATGTTTATGTAATTTAGTGTTTTATTTGATGCTAAATAAGCCACAATTCTACTAGTTTTGGTGGCAAACTGATGTCTTGGACTTTTGTGTGGTTTAATGTTCATGTATTAAGAAAAAATAAATTAAGAATGTACGAGATTCGATAGGTCTACTTGAATTAAGGAACTGCTTGGAAGAGCCATGTTAGCTTCTTGAGAATGGGATACACCCTTCACCAATAACAGAGATGGTCTCCCCCCCTCCCTCAATAGAGAGAGATTTTTTTTTTTTTTAAGCAAACCAAAAAATAGAGAACAAATCGTTTTGTTAGATAGTAAGAAGTTTGAAAATCAGTGATTTATGAAAAACCAAGATACGTGTGTGTTACTGTGCTAGGTGCAAGAATACAAACAAATAGAAAATCAAAGCATAAATACACAATACAAAAATTATGTGGTTCAACTCAAAAGCCTATGTTCATGAGCAAAGTGCAACCGCAAAAGTTCACTAGAGCTGAAGTCTAAAATGCTTTCATTCCCATCCGCTTTTTTAAGAACTTTTAAGGAAGAAGATTACCAAAAAAAGGGAACCAAAGCAGTTTCAAAACCACAAATATATATATATACTTTCAAATAGAATTAGATTTTTAAATAGGGAAGAAATTAGATATTTTGAGTGATTTCGATCCTCTATTCGGGTTAGCCTCAAAAACATTCTCAATTAGAACCCATCAAATTCATGTCAAAGTAAATATAATTCAGAAGGAAATACAAAACATCCAGGACATTATCATAGAATGTGTTCGGATAAACTCATGGCGCACACAAATGCCAACACCTTCTTATTCAGTTTCACCTTTAAAGAATCTGTATGCCAAATGCCCTGATAAATGCCAACGTCCTCCCAAACTACCATTATACCAATTACCTCACCCTTCTGCCAACTTTGGGAAGCTGTCAAGCGGACCAAGACCCCACTGGTAAACAAGGCCTCGTGGTGTTTATTACCGCTACGTACGTAATGTCGTAATTCTATAAAAACATAACAAGTGATCAATTGTATCTCATGCAATTCAATAAATACATCCTCTATCTATATGATCAGGGCGACCTGAGACATTTTTGGAGCTTAAAATAGAAACGATAAATGAGGTCTTTTTATTTTTAATATTAATAATAAATCTAATTTTTTATTTTTTAAAATAAAAAAATTTTAATTCAATTTTAATATTCAAAGCGTTTTTGTTATTATATTTGAATTTGACGGTATGTTAAGAGAAGAAAATAATGATTGAAAAATTAAGATGGTAAGTTTAAACTTAATTTTTCTGGGGGTTAAGATTAAATTTTTTTTAGTAACTTTAGTTTTACTGTTAATTTTTTTCTTTTTCTAAAAAAATAATAAATTTTAGGATTTTTTTATTTCATGTCTGAAGTAATAGATCTAATCTATTTAAGTTAAAATCTTTTGTTTGGGCATGAATTTAATTTTTTTTTTTTGAACTATTACTGCACATCTATAAATTATGGAACATTCCTTGAAGTAAAATCTTAAATTTTTTTTGATTGGACTTGTATTTTTATAAAAAAAAATTTGTAGGTAAAGTATTTATAAATTTAATTTTTCTACATAAACTATTTATGAAATCTACAAATTTGGGGTCTTCTTTAAAAATGGAGTCTAAAATCCAAATTTTTTCAACAACACTGTTGAGCCGGCCCAGTATATAATGTAACTAGTGATAACCCGTACCTTAAGATACTATATAATTCAAAGAATCAAACATTAATCATGGAGACAAAAAAATCAAGCATTGAACATAAAAAAAATATATTTGAGACCGTTGGATGAATTTATGCGAATGTTTTATCATAGATTATATAGATATACTAGTTATTCACCGTACCTGAAGGCACGGAGTAAAAAAAAAAGGTCACCAATAAACATATTTATATTCATATCTAAAATCAAATCACAAACATAAAGAATATATACAAGTATCGATTGTAATGGAGGTGAACAATATTAGTGGTGGGCGGAAGCAGTGGTGATGGTGGGAGACGATGATGGTTGTGGAGGGTGGCAACAACCGTGGTGGTGGTAGGTTTTGGGTGACGATGATGGTAGTGACAGCCGTGGGTAACGACGGTGGTGATGGTGGATGACGGTGATGGTGGGAAGACGACGGTGATGGTGGGCAATGACGATGGTGGTGGTGGATGACGATGGGTACTTCTAGACAACAGTGTAATGAGTAATGACGATGGTAAGTGTAGTGAAGGTAGGTGACAGTGGGTAGCTACAGTGGTGGGCGATGACGAGTGGTAGTGGTAGATGTGGTAGAGGTTGGTGACAGTGATTGATGGCGATGGTGGGCAATGACGAGTGGTGATGGGTTGTGGTAATGGGTGACGACGGGCAACAATGGTAATGGTGAGTGTTGACGGTGGGCAACGATAGTAATGAGATGATAATGGTAATGATAATAAATATAAGAATAAGAATATGATGGCGGTGGGTGGTGGGTGTGGCAATGGACAACGATAGTAACAATCAGTGGTGGGTGGCGATGATGGTGGTGGCGGCAATGGGGCAGTAAGGGTGGGATGGCGGTGGTGGCTTGGTAATGGTAGTGGTATTTGTGATGGTCGTGAGGGTGGTAAGAGTGATGGTGGGATAGTGGTAGTGGCGGTAAGGTGAGATAATTGTGGTAATGATGGTAGGGTACAGTAGCGATGGTGGTGATGATGATTGTAGTGGGGATGGTGGTGGGGGGGGGGTGGAAGTTATGGTGGGAAAGTGGTGGGCCGGTGGTGGTGGGGTGATAGTGGAGGAGGTGATGGTGGTGGTTGGGCGATGGTAATGGTGATGATTGTGGTTGGGTGATTGTAGTAGTGATAGTGGTGGTAGGGTAGTGACAGCAATGGTGGTGGTAGTAGTGGTGGTGGGGGGAGGGGTTGGGGTTGGGGTGTGTCAGTAGTGGTGGAAGTGGTGATGGTTGTTGAGCGATGAGGGTGGTAATGGTAGAAGTAGTGGTAGTGGTAGAGTGGTTTCAAACACTTTCTTTTTTAAAGTATTAATGAAAAATAATTTTTAGAAACACTTTTAAAAAGTCATTTTAAACACACCCTTAGAGACCTATTTTTTCTATTAAATTTGAAGTTTTAATATTAACCATCAGATTAACTTTAAAGTAAAATTAAAAAAAATCTCAACCGCGAATAGCAAAAGTCATTTTGTTTATCTTTTGAGATTTCAATTATATTGTATTTTATTATATAGATGAATGGTTTTGAGATGAATGTTGATAGCCGTTGAATAAGTTTATTCAAGATCGTCTGATAAATTTATTGAAGTCCGTCATGTTTTATATTTTAAAAAATAACCATGTCATGTAAAGAAGTGAAACTCACTTTATTTATTTAGTTGTTTCTTATCATATGAAGACATCACATTACATAACACTAAAATGTGATATCACCGACACCGTTATATTGAATATTTAATATTTACTTTTAAAGATACTGACCTCAGCCACAATTTGTAGGCCATACATTCATCGGAGATAAGGCTAGGAAGCAAAATGACATTCAAATATCTGTTACGCATGTGACATTGTCTATTGCTTAGGCCATATTGGTTTGTCCTTGCAAAATCATTCATCTCGAAGTTCATTAAAATAAAGCTCTAGAGAAGTCAGTGTCGTACCACATATTATTAGCATGTGAATGTTTGCTAAGTAAGATATTTTGGAAATTCTCTTACCAGGTTGGAATGCATTTTGTATCATTGCACATTGAGTATGATCNGGGGGGAGGGGTTGGGGTTGGGGTGTGTCAGTAGTGGTGGAAGTGGTGATGGTTGTTGAGTGATGGGGGTGGTAATGGTAGAAGTAGTGGTAGTGGTAGAGTGGTTTCAAACACTTTCTTTTTTAAAGTATTAATGAAAAATAATTTTTAGAAACACTTTTAAAAAGTCATTTTAAACACACCCTTAGAGACCTATTTTTTCTATTAAATTTGAAGTTTTAATATTAACCATCAGATTAACTTTAAAGTAAAATTAAAAAAAATCTCAACCGCGAATAGCAAAAGTCATTTTGTTTATCTTTTGAGATTTCAATTATATTGTATTTTATTATATAGATGAATGGTTTTGAGATGAATGTTGATAGCCGTTGAATAAGTTTATTCAAGATCGTCTGATAAATTTATTGAAGTCCGTCATGTTTTATATTTTAAAAAATAACCATGTCATGTAAAGAAGTGAAACTCACTTTATTTATTTAGTTGTTTCTTATCATATGAAGACATCACATTACATAACACTAAAATGTGATATCACCGACACCGTTATATTGAATATTTAATATTTACTTTTAAAGATACTGACCTCAGCCACAATTTGTAGGCCATACATTCATCGGAGATAAGGCTAGGAAGCAAAATGACATTCAAATATCTGTTACGCATGTGACATTGTCTATTGCTTAGGCCATATTGGTTTGTCCTTGCAAAATCATTCATCTCGAAGTTCATTAAAATAAAGCTCTAGAGAAGTCAGTGTCGTACCACATATTATTAGCATGTGAATGTTTGCTAAGTAAGATATTTTGGAAATTCTCTTACCAGGTTGGAATGCATTTTGTATCATTGCACATTGAGTATGATCTTGTTTCACCCTCTCTACTATCGAGTTGTTCATGCTATTCCCTCGAATAATTGACTTGATTTTACACTGTTCTGAACGTTTGTTTGTTGTATTTTGAACCAAACAAATTCATGTGTAATTGATTCTAAGACAAAATGAAATAAAATCAAAGGTGGGCAATATTAGAAGGAAGGAAGGGAGGGGGGGTTCAGATTGTCATTTTACCTCATTATTTCTACTATCCATTTTGCTATCTAAATTCTAAAGAGTAAAGATCACGTAGTCTAGTTAAATTTGTATTCGAAAGAAACAATAGGCACGATCAATAATCTCATAATCCTAGCAATAAAGGTCTAACGGGATGATCTCTGGGTTTTATCCTATGTCCCCACCCCTTTCTTCTCGAGCCAAAAAAAAAAACANATTTTTTATTTTTAAAAATATAAATTTAAATTCAAACGATTATTCATGGTAATTTGAGATTAACCATTGTTTTTTTAACATGTTTTTGGTGTGGCCAAGCCGCGTAATATGCACGTGAAATTTTATGGAAAATATGTCGGTGCATTCTATCCATTCAAGTTAGGTGGCTATCAGTTTTTCACTCTTTCTCTCCCGCTCATTGAATTTTTAATCTGCATATACTCCCCATAACTGGAACAAAGAGCCCGTTCTGGGTTTCCACTTTCCGGTCATGGCTTCCACCCAATGCGTCGTCGTTTTATTCCTAATCACATTCACATCCACCGCTTTTCCCCGTTCAATCCTCGAAACCTCCCCAAAAACCCACCACTCCTTCACCTTTAATCCGATCTCCATTCGCCGGAAAATTCCAAACGACGGCGACGCTTTCTACTGCGACAGCTGGAGACTCTCCGTCGAGACTGATAACGCCGGATCTTGGACGNCCGCTTTTTCCCGTTCAATCCTCGAAACCTCCCCAAAAACCCACCACTCCTTCACCTCTAATCCTATCTTCATTCGCCGGAAAATTCCAAAGGACGGCAACGCTTTCTACTGCGAAAGCTGGAGACTCTCCGTCGAGACTGATAACGCCGGATCTTGGACTCAGATTCCGGCCAGTTGTTTGGATTTCGTGGAGGAGTACGCGACCGGCGACCATTATTCGTCGGATCTGGAGGTTTTCGCCGAGAATGCGTTGGAGTTTGCAAAAGAGGTTAACGTCTCCTCCATCCACGGCAAGGACGCTTGGGTCTTTGACATTGACGAGACGTTGCTGTCTAATGTTGGGTATTATGAGTTCTATGGTTTCGGGTGAGTCACTTGACTGAGGAAGATTACGTCAAGTTATCGTCACTTACCAAAGCACGACACCGCACTATAACACGAATTTTTCTTCATGTTTAATTTCTTGTAAATTTGCATTGCTCGTACCGTTCCACGACACTCTAACTACTGATGCATTCAGATCCCTACAAGTAGCCCCAGAGTGAATTTGTAAGATAAGATCTGTCAATGTCCAAAGCATTTCCTCGTAATCTTCCTACTTTCCCCGGCCCTACTCTATTTGCTATAAAACTGGTGCATTTCAACATTATTTTTTGTTCATTCAACTCCTTGTTGGTGGTTTTAAGACTCTTGATTTACATCCAGATATTATGACGTTGACGCTCTCAATGAGTGGGTGGAGTCGGCTGTGGACCCTGCTTTACCTGCAAGCTTGGAGTTGTACAAGGAGCTCCAAAATATGGGATTTAAGTTAATCTTATTAACTGGCCGCAGTGAATCTCTTAGGAATGCTACAGAGAAAAATCTGTTACAAGCAGGATACAGCAATTGGGAAACGCTTATCTTGAGGTAAATAATCTAAATGGTTTATGAGATCTAAATGGTTTATGAAAATTCGCTTTGACTCATCTAAATTTCATGTCTTCAATCGGGATAAGCATGAAAGACAGGACATAGTTAAGGGGATTCAAAGTATAAGTCAAAGCCCCCAAGAAAGGCAAAAACATGGGTTCAGCATATCATTAGTAATGAAGATTGATCCATTCCATTGTGACTGAAACAGGGGACCTTCTGATACGGATAAAACAGCCACTGTATTCAAATCCGAGAAGAGAAGAGAGTTGGAACATCATGGTTTCAAGATTCATGGAAACTGTGGAGATCAATGGAGCGACTTACGGGGCTTTGCAGTAGCCACACGATCCTTCAAACTCCCAAATCCAATGTATTATGCTCCCTAGTGATCAAGGTGGAAGTTCGGAAATTGTCATGTTTATGTAATTTAGTGTTTTATTTGATGCTAAATAAGCCACAATCCCACTAGTTTTGGTGGCAAACTGATGTCTTGGACTTTTGTGTGGTTTAATGTTCATGTATTAAGAAAAAATAAATTAAGAATGTACGAGATTCGATAGGTCTACTTGAATTAAGGAACTGCTTGGAAGAGCCATGTTAGCTTCTTGAGAATGGGATACACCCTTCACCAATAACAGAGATGGTCTCCCCCCCTCCCTCAATAGAGAGAGATTTTTTTTTTTTTTAAGCAAACCAAAAAATAGAGAACAAATCGTTTTGTTAGATAGTAAGAAGTTTGAAAATCAGTGATTTATGAAAAACCAAGATACGTGTGTGTTACTGTGCTATGTGCAAGAATACAAACAAATAGAAGAACAAAGCATAAATACACAATACAAAAATTATGTGGTTCAACTCAAAAGCCTATGTTCATGAGCAAAGTGCAACCGCAAAAGTTCACTAGAGCTGAAGTCTAAAATGCTTTCATTCCCATCCGCTTTTTTAAGAACTTTTAAGGAAGAAGATTACCAAAAAAAGGGAACCAAAGCAGTTTCAAAACCACAAATATATATATATACTTTCAAATAGAATTAGATTTTTAAATAGGGAAGAAATTAGATATTTTGAGTGATTTCGATCCTCTATTCGGGTTAGCCTCAAAAACATTCTCAATTAGAACCCATCAAATTCATGTCAAAGTAAATATAATTCAGAAGGAAATACAAAACATCCAGGACATTATCATAGAATGTGTTGGGATAAACTCATGGCGCACACAAATGCCAACACCTTCTTATTCAGTTTCACCTCTAAAGAATCTGTATGCCAAATGCCCTGATAAATGCCAACGTCCTCCCAAACTACCATTATACCAATTACCTCACCCTTCTGCCAACTTTGGGAAGCTGTCAAGCGGACCAAGACCCCACTGGTAAACAAGGCCTCGTGGTGTTTATTACCGCTACGTACGTAATGTCGTAATTCTATAAAAACATAACAAGTGATCAATTGTATCTCATGCAATTCAATAAATACATCCTCTATCTATATGATCAGGGCGACCTGAGACATTTTTGGAGCTTAAAATAGAAACGATAAATGAGGTCTTTTTATTTTTAATATTAATAATAAATCTAATTTTTTATTTTTTAAAATAAAAAAATTTTAATTCAATTTTAATATTCAAAGCGTTTTTGTTATTATATTTGAATTTGACGGTATGTTAAGAGAAGAAAATAATGATTGAAAAATTAAGATGGTAAGTTTAAACTTAATTTTTCTGGGGGTTAAGATTAAATTTTTTTTAGTAACTTTAGTTTTACTGTTAATTTTTTTCTTTTTCTAAAAAAATAATAAATTTTAGGATTTTTTTATTTCATGTCTGAAGTAATAGATCTAATCTATTTAAGTTAAAATCTTTTGTTTGGGCATGAATTTAATTTTTTTTTTTTGAACTATTACTGCACATCTATAAATTATGGAACATTCCTTGAAGTAAAATCTTAAATTTTTTTTGATTGGACTTGTATTTTTATAAAAAAAAATTTGTAGGTAAAGTATTTATAAATTTAATTTTTCTACATAAACTATTTATGAAATCTACAAATTTGGGGTCTTCTTTAAAAATGGAGTCTAAAATCCAAATTTTTTCAACAACACTGTTGAGCCGGCCCAGTATATAATGTAACTAGTGATAACCCGTACCTTAAGATACTATATAATTCAAAGAATCAAACATTAATCATGGAGACAAAAAAATCAAGCATTGAACATAAAAAAAAAATATTTGAGACCGTTGGATGAATTTATGTGAATGTTTTATCATAGATTATATAGATATACTAGTTATTCACCGTACCTGAAGGCACAGAGTAAAAAAAAAAAGGTCACCAATAAACATATTTATATTCATATCTAAAATCAAATCACAAACATAAAGAATATATACAAGTATCGATTGTAATGGAGGTGAACAATATTAGTGGTGGGCGGCAACAGTGGTGATGGTGGGAGACGATGATGGTTGTGGAGGGTGGCAACAACCGTGGTGGTGGTAGGTTTTGGGTGGCGATGATGGTAGTGACAGCCGTGGGTAACGACGGTGGTGATGGTGGATGACGGTGATGGTGGGAAGACGACAGTGATGGTGGGCAATGACGATGGTGGTGGTGGATGACGATGGGTACTTCTAGACAACAGTGTAATGAGTAATGACGATGGTAAGTGTAGTGAAGGTAGGTGACAGTGGGTAGCTACAGTGGTGGGCGATGACGAGTGGTAGTGGTAGATGTGGTAGAGGTTGGTGACAGTGATTGATGGCGATGGTGGGCAATGACGAGTGGTGATGGGTTGTGGTAATGGGTGACGACGGGCAACAATGGTAATGGTGAGTGTTGACGGTGGGCAACGATAGTAATGAGATGATAATGGTAATGATAATAAATATAAGAATAAGAATATGATGGCGGTGGGTGGTGGGTGTGGCAATGGACAACGATAGTAACAATCAGTGGTGGGTGGCGATGATGGTGGTGGCGGCAATGGGGCAGTAAGGGTGGGATGGCGGTGGTGGCTTGGTAATGGTAGTGGTATTTGTGATGGTCGTGAGGGTGGTAAGAGTGATGGTGGGATAGTGGTAGTGGCGGTAAGGTGAGATAATTGTGGTAATGATGGTAGGGTACAGTAGCGATGGTGGTGATGATGATTGTAGTGGGGATGGTGGTGGGGGGGGGGTGGAAGTTATGGTGGGAAAGTGGTGGGCCGGTGGTGGTGGGGTGATAGTGGAGGAGGTGATGGTGGTGGTTGGGCGATGGTAATGGTGATGATTGTGGTTGGGTGATTGTAGTAGTGATAGTGGTGGTAGGGTAGTGACAGCAATGGTGGTGGTAGTAGTGGTGGTGGGGGGAGGGGTTGGGGTTGGGGTGTGTCAGTAGTGGTGGAAGTGGTGATGGTTGTTGAGTGATGGGGGTGGTAATGGTAGAAGTAGTGGTAGTGGTAGAGTGGTTTCAAACACTTTCTTTTTTAAAGTATTAATGAAAAATAATTTTTAGAAACACTTTTAAAAAGCCATTTTAAACACACCCTTAGAGACCTATTTTTTCTATTAAATTTGAAGTTTTAATATTAACTATCAGATTAACTTTAAAGTAAAATTAAAAAAAATCTCAACCGCGAATAGTAAAAGTCATTTTGTTTATCTTTTGAGATTTCAATTATATTGTATTTTATTATATAGATGAATGATTTTGAGATGAATGTTGGTGGCCGTTGAATAAGTTTATTCAAGATCGTCAGATAAATTTATTGAAGTCCGTCATATTTTATATTTTAAAAAATAACCATGTCATGTAAAGCAGTGAAACTCACTTTATTTATTTAGTTGTTTCTTATCATATGAAGACATCACAGTACATAACACTAAAATGTGATATCACCGACACCGTTATATTGAATATTGAATATTTACTTTTAAAGGTACTAGTACAAGGACCTCAGCTACAATTTGTAGGCCATACATTCATTGGAGATAAGGCTAGGAAGCAAAATGACATTCAAATATCTGTTACGCATGTGACATTGTCTATTGCTTAGGCTATATTGGTTTGTCCTTGCAAAATCATTCATCTCGAAGTTCATTAAAATAAAGCTCTAGAGAAGTCAGTGTCGTACCACATATTATTAGCATGTGAATGTTTGCTAAGTAAGATATTTTGGAAATTCTCTTACCAGGTTGGAATGCATTTTGTATCATTGCACATTGAGTATGATCTTGTTTCACCCTCTCTACTATCGAGTTGTTCATGCTATTCCCTCGAATAATTGACTTGATTTTACACTGTTCTGAACGTTTGTTTGTTGTATTTTGAACCAAACAAATTCATGTGTAATTGATTCTAAGACAAAATGAAATAAAATCAAAGGTGGGCAATATTAGAAGGAAGGAAGGGAGGGGGGGTTCAGATTGTCATTTTACCTCATTATTTCTACTATCCATTTTGCTATCTAAATTCTAAAGAGTAAAGATCACGTAGTCTAGTTAAATTTGTATTCGAAAGAAACAATAGGCACGATCAATAATCTCATAATCCTAGCAATAAAGGTCTAACGGGATGATCTCTGGGTTTTATCCTATGTCCCCACCCCTTTCTTCTCGAGCCAAAAAAAAAAACAAGAGTAAAGATCATTACAAGTATTTTAACCATATCATTTAGATAAATATTTAGAGCAGCCTAGTAAATCAGTTTCTACTACTTTTGTGCACACGTCTTATCCACACATGACAGCATCAGACGGATTAAATTAGTAAACTCTGAATCATTACTTCTTTGAGTTAATGAGAAACAGCCATCACCAACCACTCTTGTCACAGTTTGTTCATTTTTTTTTTTAATCAAACTCCTGTTCTTTTTTAACTTCATTCTTTCTGGGTCGTGATCTCTAATTTTTCTTTCTTAATTTATTGTTGTTTAAGTAAAAATATGGTTTTAACCCAAGCTTTCAAGGTTTTCTATTGAAAATGTGCTTTTATTTATGAATACGTTTTGTATTAAAAAGCGT